TTTTTTTTCAGTGTACGGTCTTAAGATGTCATGAACCAATCAGAGAGCTGTATTAGCATCTTAGGCCATTATTCATACACTGTTAAATTTATAGTGTCAAATTTAACTTAACATGAGTCGCCACTGCTCCTACTCAATCATATCGTTATTTTATACTAAAACAATGGTTATTATTTGACACTATACAGTGTCAAATTTAACTATCGTTTTGATAAAAAATAACGATATATTTAAGAGCAGTGGCGACTCACGTTAGATTAAATTTGACACTATAGATTTAACAGGGTAGTCGATTCTTATTTCAAGATTGTCTTAAATAATACCTTAAGACGCTAATTACCGGCATTAAAGTATTACTTAAGAGAATCTTAAAATAAGAATGTCTTATTTCAAGATCGTCTTAAGTAATACTTTAGTTTCTTATAGAAATAAGGAATACTATAAACACAATTCTCAGATTCAACATTAGATATTTCAAGAAAGATGTCTCGTGTCGTCAAACGTGCATCACTTCTCGGCATGCAGTATAACTTGGGCACACGATAATCAAATTGTTTGCAACTTACCCTAGACAAGAACGGAAGTCCACGCTTCCAGTTGTTAGTATTGCGGTTGGCATGCGTTCAAAGAATAAAAATACGGTGATGTTAAAGTATTGCGGTATTAAAAACCATTCTGCGTATCTCGGCCACGAACGCATCCTTGAAATTATCGTGTCAGCATTCGAGATATGTTAGATTATGGTAACCAGATGCCACCTGTGACGTGACTTATAATGACACTAATTTTAAGGAATGTCGTGGACACGAGAAAGAATTTAACTCAGAGGCAGACAAAGAAAGTGTCGCCCTACGTCCAAATATTAATTCTATATAATGCAACGTCTTATGACATAAACAATAATTCATGTTTATTATTCTTCTTTATGCTTGAAAAATATAAAAAGCTGACAATTGGAAAAAAAGTTCCAACTGACAGGCTGGAAAATAATTTTTGTTAGTTTTGTAGTGACAAAATTTGTAACGCTTGATTATCGGTCATTGTAACTAAATCGTAATTCAATCTCTTCGTTTAAATTTACCGTTAAAATATTTTATCCGTGTATATCGGAAATACAAAAATTCATCACAAATTCATGCAAATCGCTAGTTAT